TGTTTTCACACATGTAAGACAACATTCCGCTTCATAGAGCAAAGCTGGTTTCACAACTGTCCTATAGAACTTGCCATTCATCTTTATTTACATGCAACAGTCACATAAAATTATGGTTATGTATCTCCACTTCTCCCACCCAGTTTTAATGCATGACAAATAGGTTTAAGAAAAATAAAAAAAAATAAATGAAAGGGATTGGAGGTTGTGACCTGGATTTCCCTCCCACGGAATTCATTCGGGATTGGTATTCCCCGATCGTGATCGCATGGTTTTGCAACTCACAAAGTGGCATCCAAAGTGCTTTATATATAAAAGTCTCAACACCCATAAGGCCTCTCTCTCAAATGTGCAATATTCGTTACGACGTTTTTTCTTTTTTCTTTTTCCTTTTTTTGTTCTTTTCATTTGTGCAAAAGAGAAAAAAATGGAGACTACACAAGGGACCACATATTCGTCACCTCAAATTTTAATCGCAATTTTGAAACAGATGAGAGACACATTCAAGGCTAAATGTTAAATTTGACACAAATCACCACATTATTCTATTACAAAGAAGTAAATTCTACAAGCCCCTATTGATTTGACATGGATAAGCACAAGTGCAAAAAAATCCTTCATCCATGCAACCAACCCTCTCATTATTCTGTCACGTAGGAGCCCTCAGTATTCAAAGAAGGGCCCGTAACCATAGGCATTAGGGATCTAGCAACATTTGGAACGAGTAGCATTTTCAGAGCCTATACTTCTCAACCTTCAGTGCAAGATCGTCTTTCCTTGCACCCACCACCTTCTCAACCACCCTTCCTTGTTTCGCCAGAATAAAAGTTGGCATTACTTGTATTTCCCATTCATCAGCAACATCCTGCAAAGCCAAATCAAACCACACTTCAATGAAATTAACGCCTCAAAACCCTCCTTTTTTAAATAAATTAGAAGCCTCAAGTTAGTTTTATCACTAATTATCATCATCATTAGTATTATATTTTCTGGGTAGTTCAGTGGTAGGTATTGAGCTTGAGATGTAGCATTGCTTGACGTCAACTGCTAACCACTCAAGCCCAATCCCAATTCCTAAATATGGGAGGCAGTAGTAAGCTTAACAATATTAATAGATTCCTAAATATGGGAGGCAGTAGTAAGCTTAACAATATTAATAGATGTAGGCATACCATAAGTTCATCCACATCAAGCTTCACAAACTCAACGTCCGGAAATTTGGTAGCAAGTTCCTTAAAAAAAGGCTCCATGACTCGACAGGGTCCGCACCATGCTGCGCCAAAATCGATCACTATCTGTTTTAAGTCCAAAAGCCAAGGGTGAGATTACTCGTAATGAAGATAACAGACAATTACACATATAGAGCATGCTCACCAGCCAAACACAATGTAAGTTTGAATTATTTTACTTTGAGGAAATTACCAGTTTCTTAGAGCTCTTAGTAGTATCAAAATAAGCCCTCCATTCAGAGGACTTGTGGAAGGGGAGAACACGGTTGGGGCCCTGTTTTTTAGGGGAGGCAGGAGGATTCGAGTCCTGCATTTTTGGGTGCGCTACATGATATGAGTTTTGTTCTAAGGCATGGTTTTTGGATAGCTCAGCACCCATTTCTTTTGGATGAAATTTTTGTTAGGGAATGGAGATGGATAAATGAAAGCAAGTAGCAAATGTTTGTCCTATGTTAAGGTTATCAGTAAACTGGCTTTTATAGACAGAAGAAAGAATAATTTGAAACAATTTGGTGGGGGATCCACCTTTGTTGTAGAGCTGGATGCCGTGATCTGATTGTACTGCATTATGCGAATATTTTCTATTAAAATAGTGAACTAAACCTTCTTAGCCCTCGGTTTAAAGTTTCAAGATTTTTGGGGAGCTAAAAGATCATTTATCAGTGTAGGACTGTTTCCTCTTGCCTTTGCGGCTGATAGAATCTTTCAGGACGCGATAATGGCTCATATACAGCTAAATGTTATGTGGAAGCACATGGTTTTCATATGGGGAAAAGAATCAGGTGTTTTGAACTTTTGATCTTCTGAACTTCAAAATGCTTTCTTTCGGACAAACATGCTTTTCCTAAATGAAAAAAATTAGACCCATGCACTAATAAGGTTTGACGAAACAACAAAACTCTTAACCATATTTTGAAGAGAAATTTATTCGCCTTTCGCTTTTTTGGGTAGTTGAGCTTATGCCGGGCTGGGCGGGCTTGGAGTCGAGTGTGACTCTTCTTAAAACACTGTTCGAGGCCAGGGGGTAGAAGCCCTCTGTTTTGTGTCTGTCGACGAGGCAGAGGAAGATGCAGGAAAGCAATAAAGCTACGCTATCATGCAAAACAAAGCAGTTTGAGGTGGCTGAGGGCCAATGGAGAGGGCAAGTATGTCAACGACAGTAACAATGGCGCCAATGTCAGGACTACTGGAAGCCAGAATGCCCTTCTGCCACTTCAGACGAAATGGAAACATGGAACAAGGGAGAAAAGGGCTGGCGACAGTGCCACTAGGTCAGCTGACCATGTGTTGCGTATATCTAATACAACACCTGTTGAAGGTGAGAGTTAGTTCAAATGGAAAGCTAAAAAAGGACATGAGGTAGACCCAAAAAGACAATTGGATGTTTGAGAGCTTTTAAAAACCATATTATCCCCACCGTCCATCCCACCAAAATAAAATTGGTAGTGGAAATTAAAAAATCTCACAAATAGGAGGTTACAATTGCTCCTAGCCATTAGCTATTAGACTTTTAGTAAAAATATCAACTATTGCATTTTCAATTACTTATTTTGGGTATGGTATACTATGAGACGATCTATCTTTGTTACAAGGAGGTTACAATTGCCCCTAACCATTAGACTTCAATTAACATGGTTTGGGTTGTGTCACAAAGTTTGAGATTATTATTTTTGAAGTTCAAGTCTGGTCCATGAGACACTCACAATCGCTCAACTTAAAATCGCATGGACAAAGGTGATTGCGACATGTTAGTCTTTTTTTCTTTTAAAAAAAAAGCTAAAATAATTTTACAAATTTAAGAATTAATTAAAAATTTAACTAGTCTACAAATTAAACCTCATCCGAGTTTACCTTAGACCTCGGGTCCTGGTTGAGGACGAACAATTTGACCAATCTCAAGGTCAAAGAATTTGAACATTTCTAAATGGGTGCGGTTTGCATACATATGCATCCGTGGGTGTAGAGCTACGGTGCACCTTCAAATTTCATTATGGCATATAGTTTTGATGTAAAATGTTATTAGGATCATCTTAAAATATATTTTTATACCGAATTATAAAATTTTAAATTTAACAAATAGTTAAAATCAAGTAGAACTATAAACATATGAAAATTTTGAAAATGAGCGGTGTAGATAATATGTTATAAAATATACTATTTTTGAGACTTAAAATATTTTTTTTTTTCATGGTCATATATCTCGATGTCGAGATGATCAATCAAAGAGTTTTTCAACATTAAAACTACTTTTTCCGATGGATTTTTGAGGTGATTCGTAGCTCTACAGTATGAAGTTACAGCCGTATATAAACTTTTTTCTTTCTAAATTGTGCAGCAATTCTTAGGTGACTCTCTCTCTCTCTCTCTCTCTCTCAAAAACAAAGGATTCCAAACCCTTAAACCAGCAGCTTCTTTGCAAGTTCACAGAATAACAATGAGAACACTACACGAGCCATTTGCCGCCTTCAAGAGGAATCTTAACCCAAATAGGATTTCTTCCTCGCTGGCGCTTGGCACATACGCAATAGGAGTCAACTTTTAAAATAGTCAATTATAAAACAACATTCAAGAAAGGTTTGAATTAAAAAATAGGATCGTATACCATAATACTAATAATTACTTATAGGAAGAAGTTTACATATGGGTGGGGCCCTAAACAATCAAATTATGGCTGTGCTTCAAAAATTTTATTAAAAAAGGTTATTCAATGTTGACCTCAATATGCATGGACAAGAGAAAAATTGAATTTCAAGCTTTGAAAATAGTGCATCTTGTAATGTATTTTCGGACCGTTAATTTTTAAAATTTTAAAATATTCATAGATATATTCAATTTATACTATTTTTAAAATTTTAAATTTTATAATTAAAAAAAGATAAATTTTCAAGTCATCACAAAAATTTTCAATATTGAAACATCTTTCAATACTATTTGAAGGAAGGTGCACTTATTACTTTGATTGTTTAGGGCCTCGCCTTATGCAAGTATTTGAATCGTCTTCGGACACTATTTGAAGGTGCGGTCGTACTTTAATTGTTTAGGGCCTCGGCCTTATACAAGCCACAACCGTACTTATAACTATACGACGTTATCACAAAGGTTGAAAAAATTCCTTTTAAAGTTTTAGCTAAAATGATCTATTATTTTTTTTAAAAGATTTAAAGTAGTAAAATGTATGTAAATTGTAGTATAAAACGAGGACAAGCTTTCTATGTTTCCCCTGCTGCATGGAAGTTCTATCTTCTCCCTTATCCAACCGTCCATTTAAATGGAGGGCTAAGATTGTCTCAATTACAATGTCACGTCTCTATATTATTTTATTTTTATTTTTTTCTATAAACTATTTTGACACCAAATTTTGGTTTGGTTGTCCATTCCTCTATTAAACTCATACCAGCTAAAATATAAAAAAATTATTTTTAATAAAATAAAATGGCTAAAATACCTTTAAAAATTTCAAATGGTATTTTGATCATTATATTTTATCGAAAAATTATTTTTAATATTTTTTATAGGTGCGTCTAATGAGAAGATTGCACGTACCAAATTTTATATTCATACAATTTGTATAAAAACAATTAAAAAAAATATTTTGAAAGTAAGATCTAATATCAAATAGTGATCGGCTCTCGTGGTCACAATTGGATAGCTCAAACAGTGATCGGCTCTCGTTATCAAAATTGGATGGCAGGATGTGGTTTGGGGGAGGATAGAACTTTTATGCACCGGGGGAAGCATAGAAACCTTTCCCATAAAACGGGCCAATCCAACTTAGATTGGTTTTACAAGAGGGGCTTATAGAGCATTAGCACCAGGCATTCTCAGAACTTCGCACTGTTCATTGCCCCCCTCTCTCTCTCTCTCTCACACACACACACACACAACACAAAAGAGCCGATCCAACTTAGATAGGGGCTTATAGAGCAATAGCACCAGGCATTCTCAGACCGTCGTACTGTTCATTGCCCCTCTCTCTCTCTCACACACACACACAACACAAAAGAGACAAAAGAATGGGTGTGTTTTTCTCATCAAGCCGTGCCCCTGCCGAAGAAGAAGGCACGTCTCTTGTTCTCACCTTCCACAATTCCTCAGACTGGAGATCCCATTTCGAGGCTAACAAGTCATCTAAACAACTGGTACTCTCTCTCTCTCTCTCTCTCTCGATGAATCACTATCTGAATCACAGAATCTGATTTCATTTTCTAATTTTTTGTGTGGATTTCTAAACTCCTATGATGCCCCTAATCTTCTGATAACCAAGGGCCAAAGACCCATATATCATAGCAAACAATACGTTGTTTGAGAGAGAGAGGAATTTTTTGTTGGTCTTTCTCGATTTTTTACTTTTTATTTTTCTGGTTATATTAGAGAAGGCTGTGAATTTGTCATTTAAGCTCGTTCACACAAATCAAGAGATTCACCTCTGCACAAAGATGGATTCAGCTTTTGTGCTTTTTACTGTGAATCAATTGGGTGTTTCCATATATTTTGCTTGCAAGAGACCCAATAAAGGGTATCAATTCTAAATGAAAGCTACAGTTCCTATCTCCATGCTGCTCTGTGATTCACTTTTGCTGATGGGCTTGAGTTTCTGAATTTTTTTTTTCGTATAGTTTACATGTATTTGTAGATAAATTATGATTCGCTTTTGGGTACTCTGAAGTTCTGAACATTTGAAAATGGGTGGGGGTGTCTATACGTTTTCAACTTGAAACAATCCAACAATCCAATTAAGGGCGTACCATGGAAGTTTTGTTGGATTTGGTGCTATCCAAAATCACCCACATAAATCCAGATAAATCCCCTATTATGTTTGTTGGATTTGGTGCTATCCAAAATCACCCACATAAATCACATAAATCCCATATTATGTTTGTTATTTGTTGTTTGTTGGATTTGGTGCTATCCAAAATCACCCACATAAATCCCTATCCAACTATCCAATTAAGGCGCACCATAGAAGTTTTGTTCGATTTGTTGGATTTGGTGCCATCCAAAATCACCCACGCGCACCATAGAAGTTTTGTTGGATTTGTTGGATTTGGTGCCATCCAAAATCACCCACATAAATCCCATAGTATGTTTGTTTGTTAGATTGGTGCTATCCAAAATCACCCACATAAATCCCAATCCAACAATCCAATTAAGTTACACCAGGGAAGTTTTGTTGGATTTGTTGGATTTGGTGCCATCCAAAATCACCCACATAAATCCCATATTCATAAATCCCATATTATGTTTGTTGGATTTGGTGCTATCCAAAATTACCCACATAAATCCCATATTATATTTGTTGGATTTGGTTGGATTTGGTGCTATCCAAAATCACCCACATACGGAAATATGGGGGATTGAGATATTCCTATATTACGTGGAATTATGATGTTTAGGTGGGATTGAGATATTCCTATATGATGTGGGATTGAGATATTTACTTATTATGTGAGATTGATATTGATAAGTTTCCAAAAGTAAATAGAAATTAAAAAAGATTAGGACTCTGATATATCTCTTGGTCTTTTGAGATATATGTGTCTTTTCAGATATATGTAACATCAGTAAGAAGTTTCCTATTTAGTGTGGATTCCTAACTTTATATATATGGGATGAAAGTATAGAGAATTTTGTTTCCTATTTGGGTCACTATATGGAAATTGTGGTTCTTCTAGGGAGAGAGGGGACAAAGCCTCCATTGCATGACATGCCAGGTTTCCTCTTAGAGAGAAGAGAGCTTCCTATGGATAGAAACTTTGCGCATAGTTTCTCCTCCAAAAATGACCTCCCCTGTTGGGAAACGCATTAGATATTTACTTAAACTGGTGGGTCATTGAACAAATCCTACGTTTGCCCCAAGACGTCTCTAATTAGAAAAGGAAACGCTTGAGCTTTACTTAAATCGGTCGGTCCTTGAGTAAATCCTACGTTAGCCCCAAGACGTTGGTCTCTAACTAGAAAAGTAAATGCTTGAGCTTGAGAAGCTTCTGGTCCTGTAGGACCGTAAAACTCACTAGGATAAGCCGTATTATTGAACCAGGCGAAACAACAAGCAATGAAACCAAAGACAGATACAGCCCCCAAACTATAAGACAAGTACGCTTCTCCAAACCATACAAATGCGTGGCGAGCCCACGCAAAATGTTAGTTAAGATATGCCAGATTCCACCAAGTATACAATGAAACTTAACCATACATGTGCATCAAGTATACAAATGAAACCTAACCATACATGAGCATCTCTATCTGGTGTTGTTGGAAATAGTTGCCAAAAGTAAAGAAAAAGAAAGGAGAGTAGGTGTTAAATGGTATGCTCGACTTGCTTTTTGTCGAGGTTAGAGAGGTAACTCTGTGTCCCAAAATCTATGATGTAACTATCATTGGTATAGTGGATTTCAGTTTATCGTGCCCGTGGTTGTACCCCTTCTGATATATGCTTTATAACTCGTACTTTATTTTCCAAAATTCAACCCATCAGGTTTAGAGCTTCCATACATAACAATTTTATCATAACATGTAATTTTGGTGTAAAACATTCTTAGGATTATCTCAAATCAATTTTTATCTCTAATTATAAAATTTTAAACTCAAAAAATGGTTAAAATTAAGTAGATCTATAAACATATGAAAATCTTGAGAATGGACAGTCTAGATAATGTATTGCGAGATGCAGTATTTTTGAGACTCAAATTTTTTATTTATTTATTCATATTCATACGTCTTCATGTCGAGATGATCAATTAGAGGGTGCATCATAAAATAACCTTTTCCAATGGATTTTTTAGGTGCTTCTTTAATTCTACAGTTTAAGACCTTATGTAATATTTTTCCTTATTGCTGTTATAGTTTATAATAGATACATATATGGGTTAATCTGAATTCTCTTATCTTGGATTTGGATACTCTGGACTTGTGCAGATAGTGGTTGATTTTAGCGCCTCATGGTGTGGGCCTTGCCGCATCATAGAGCCCTTTGTCAAAGAGCTTGCTAACAAATTCTCTGATGTTAAATTTCTGAAGATCGACGTCGATGAACTTCCAGTATGCCCCCACAATGCTAATTCTTGAAATTAAGTTTTTGATTTTGAAAGTCTCCATTGAAAATTTCCAGAAATAACTTCCACTGCAACCAAATTGATCATGCCTTTGAATTGGCTTTCCACAGGATGTTTCTCAAGAATGGGGTGTACAGGCAATGCCCACATTTGTTCTGATCAAAGAAGGGAAGTTGGTTGACAAGGTGGTGGGTCCGGATAAACGCGAACTCGAAAAGAAGGTCGAAAAGAATAGAGTGTAGGAATTATGTTACAAAAGTGGCTTTCTAATGATCTTAGCTTGAATGTTCATGGAGGTCTGAATAAGGTGGATTCATCTCCATTAGAAAATTGCAAACTTGTTTCTTCTCTTGTGCAAATTGGCTCGAATGGAGGTTGTGAGTTTGTTGTCACATTATGTATGTTGGATTTTCATGAACTGTGAGGAATGCAGAATTTCATCAGGTGGAGTTTCAGTTCTCCCATTGTTGAAATTGTTTTTGTTTATGGCAAATGCATTGATTGGTCTTTTCTCAAGAAAAAATTCTGTCGACACAAATTGTAGGCTCCCCCTGTGAATGAGTGTGTTTGTGACCTATCACTCGACTAATCCTCCGCTGACAGGATTCTTCAACCCCTTTTTCTTTTATATACATTCCTCCTCGTTCTTTAAAGATAAGAATCGTGACTAATCCTCCACAGACGGATTCTTCAATTCCATTTGCTGTTTTATATATATTCCCCCTAGTTCTTTAAAAATAGAAATCTCCCCACTATAGATATGTACCAAATATTGTTGGCACAAACTTTTTGCACTCCATGCAAATGAGTTTAGTTGTGGTCCATCACTCACTGATCCTCCATTGACATGATTCTTCAACTCCATTTGCTTCTACATATATTCTACATACTTCTCCTAAGTCTTAAAGAAAAAAAGAAAATAAAGAAAAGCAAGTATGTGCCCTCTAAAGATATCCCATATGTATTTATTTAGCTTAGGACCTATTAGGAATGGAATTTAAGACATCATCTTGTGGTATCCTACTCAATTGAGCACTTTTGTAGTTGGATTCCTATGTGTAGTTGGATTCCTATGATTCAATATCCGTCTAAAGATGTCCCGTATGTATTTAATTTAGGACCGATTAGGAATGGAATCCAAGACATCATCATGTGGCACTCCTCCCAATTGACCACTTTTGTAGTTGGATTCCTATGATTCAATAGGAACCACCTTTGAAAACACTGGCATATTGCATGTCAAGCTTAGTTTCATCGTTTATTCTTCGCACCGAGCTCTCAGCATTTGTTTCTTTCTAGATATGCACAAGAGGGATATTTTAGCTATTTGTGATGCTATACAAGCTTGTAAATGTTACTTATACCCTAGCAAACATAGACGTCATTCTTCCAACAATAGGGACATCTTATGTAACTCGTTTGCTGTTCTTCTGATTATAATTACCTACTGGATTTATATGATTTAAATGAGAAGGTTATTTGATATATTCATGGCAGTTGTTCCTCACCATGGTTTTCAAATGCAAAGCACATTTTAGATTCTTAATTTCGGGACCCCGAGGTTTGATTGTTGTATTTATCTTCTTATCACACGTAGATCGTATTAAATACCTACCATTGTTGCATGCCTAATTTGAAACACCAGATAAAGACCTAGTTGGATAAGAAACTAGACCAGACATTCTAGTGTTTTCCAATTCAATCCCAACTAGGTTCCGAGAAATCTACTAAAGGACTACCGTAATTGGGACTAAGGCACAAAAGTGGTTTGAAATGGTTCAAAGCAGCCAGCGGTGGCAGGTGTATCCAAAAAATGCAACTTATCTAATTTCTTCTACCGATAAAAACAGCAGAAACAGTTTCATTGGGCTGGTGTACCAAAAATGATATGCAACTTCAAACAATTCTTTTTATTTCTCGTAATGGTAAAACGCAGCTGAAACCATTTCATTTGGTTAAGGCAATTTCTTGAATGGATTTTCTCAAACAAGTCACTATCCAACAATTTTACAGGAACAGCAGGACCTGGACACATACACACGCTAGCGTGCAAGGAGGAATGGAAACGTCATCGCCAAAGATTAACACAACCCGCACTATATTCATCCTGCATGGCTTTTTATAAGAACTCAAAACAACCAACATGCCTAGTAAAAGTACATCTGCAAATACGTACAGCTACTGGCATTAACTGAATCAAAGGAATGCAAGAATCAAACAATTTAATGAAACAACTGATTTGTGGATTGAGCGCTTCTACTCTCAATACTATAAAGAATTAGTGTAGGACACAAAACAACATGTGTTTCAAAAGGCATTGTAGAGGTACACGAAAGAAAATTCAGAAAAGGACACGGTTTCTATGCGACCAGCCTGCATATTGTAGAAATACGGGCTTGACAATAAATATATATTTTAAATATAATTTGATCCTAATTTTTATAGAATATATAATATTTGACATGGAGATCATATATATGAATTTTGTTTTTTTGAAAAGTGGAAATAACATATATTAAAAAAACATTTGGACCATTAGTTGCACTTGTTTTTAAATAGACCACCTATTTGCATCCATCTTTAAGATGGATGTTGTATAATGTAGTCCAGCTCGTATGAAACAATTTTTTTTCACAAAAAAATGACTGTGAAAGTAATAAGAAAAGATAAGAGACTTATGACCTCACTAACAATATGACCCCTAATAGAACAGAATGACAAGCTTACATTTATATTTCCGACCCCAATTACTTGAGAAAAGGCACTAACAATGATGATGAAGCATAATATCCATATTTCTTGGATGATCCTAAGAGTTAATCTAAAAGAATATCACAACCGGCTATCCTTCACTAAGCTTGAAGGACACATAGCGAGCAATACAAGTCATCAAACAATAGTACTGATTTGATGTTCCGATTGTGAATATGACGATCGTTTAATACAAAATCACATACAAAATTTACCAAGCAAATAAATGTAATGGTTTCTATATAGCTAAAAAAACACATAGATCCTCAGGTAAATGCTAAGCAAGATCATTCTTTAATGGGTTCAGTTTGCGCTCTAAACAATCAAAATAAGGCACACTTTCAAATAGTGTCGAAAAATGTGGTTTCAATATTGGAAAGATTTAATATTTATTTTCATCTTTAAAAGCTTAAAAAATAGTGGAGATCCTCTAAACTCAAGATTTAAATAATACATCTCAATTGAAATCAATATCCAGCTTTGCTATTGATATCGCCCACTACACATGCCTGATATCCCTAATCTTGAATGTACATGTTACCCAAGGATGAGTTTGGCTTCAACAGCTGTGTGCAACAAAATATTACGAAACTTGCTGCATGAACATTCAATTAGATAACGAAAGGTTTTTCTCTTATTGTTAAAGGTAATACATGAACATATAATAGATCTAATTGAAGGTCTTCTATAAGGGACATAAAATTCCAAAACCCCTCCTGTATCTCTTCTAATCCCTGTATTGGCGGATTGGTGTGCCATTTTGCTTCTCTAAGAAAATGACAAAATCCAAAATAACCTCCACGCAATTACATCTTTTCCTCTGATTCATCTTATGAGCAACACGAGTTTAGCAGGACTGTGAAGCTTTTCTTGAATTTCTCAAGGGAAAAAACAAAAGGCCTAACCTCCATGTACTTGCAGCTTCACCTCTGAGCAGGACTGCATTGGTTTCAGCTCGAGTCAAACCCTTTATACTCAATGACTTGAGCCACCTGAAGGATTTTCTCTTACTTCACAAGTGATCAAGAAGACAGGAGATCAACCACTCAAATTCTTTTGACGCTCACGAATAAAAGAAAAGGAACTCATTATGTCCAACATAAGCGCATGAACTACGGAGTTTTACAATCCCACTTTTCACATGGGACGATTTTCCAAACAAAAGGGAAGTGTAAGCATATAACAGCACCCAGACAAGGACACCCGCATTAACAATTAGGAAACGGTTTCAGGCATCTATTTCTTCGGATATTTTGGCTCTTCCCATGTACACATATTGCATCTCTTCTTTCCATATCTGCCAAAAATGAAACCACAAATTGATATATGAGTCATCCAATGAACACCATTAGGATTCAAGGTTAGGGTTTGTCATAGATGATACCTGGTGGCGGAAAGCAACTCTCATGAGTGGAACATTTGTCTTTTGGATATCATTTCCTGCAGGTCCTCTCTTGTAATATTTGTTTCCAAGCCAATGAAGCTGCAGTAAATCCAGAATTTGCAGATCAATACAAGATTTGGTAAATGGATTTATTGTGTTCTCTAAATCCTTTTTAAAGTTAAATCTTTCAAGCAATTGATTATCGTTTTGGCAATTTGCACAGATAGAAGCAGGAAGTAATGGCTGATTCATAGTTGATGATGGAATAAACACATAATTTAGTTGATACATGGTCATATAAATAAGACTTTATGACAAATTTGCTTATGCTTAACACCTTTGTTGCATGGCTAAAACCAGACTGATAGACTGAATTCCTTGCAATCTCACAGAGATCACACGAACCGAGCTTCCATACCTGAGAAAAACATATGATATTAGGTGTACATGCAGAGAACAAGAAGAACAACAATAACAACGACAATAATAATACGAAAAGCAAAGTTCCAAACCTGTGCTGCAACACTGTATTCCTCTACAAGAGGTTCTTTGGTTAGATGGATCTGGAGAGGATCATCTGTTGAAAGGGACACATTAAGTCCACGAGCAAAAAACATTGGGAATGGGTTTCGACGATAATCCAAAAATAAGGAATTATTGCTCAAAGGAGACATGGCCAACCCAATCTGCAAAAGGAATTACCATTGTAAGCATTCCCCTCAAATAACAATTTACCTAAAAGAAAGCAATCTAGGACATCCAAGACAATAAACACTTCTAGGAAAAACTTCACACATTCACCTGGGAAAGATAATATAAATACTGTAATGGAGTTGATTTTCTGAGATTATTTCCATGTGCAATGTTGTGTGCTGCAAGGAATGCGGCAGCCAAGTGATCGATATCACCAGCCTATTGAATACATTACTCAGTTACTAACTACTAAACAAAGCAACCAATCAAACAAATGCAAAATGGGAAAGCAAAGTACAGAAAGTATTAAACAGATACCTCTCCGCAGTGAGGTCGAAATTTGATCAGAGACATTCCTTTCGATTCACGAAGCTGTGGGCAAGAAAAGAAACAAACTCTATGAAGCTTACACATAGATCCCACTAACAAGATAGCATTTAGCACCCATGCCCCTTGGACAGTGTTTAGAGGTGTAAAAGACGCTTTGCTTAATACCTTTAACCCATATAAACTATCTAATGATCACACCAAATCAGGCTATGCCTTGTTGATACAAATACAAAGACATGGCAATTACAACTGCACAACTACATTTTCCCTCTTATGTGTCCCTTTTCATGTTGGGACATGTGAGGTCACCAGTAGTAATTTGGAGGGAGCAGTTTGCCTTCACAAGCATTCATCGTGTGGTAGGATAAACACAATCCACGCCAAATCCTTAGTTACGTCGGGTAATAGATACCAACCTTATTAAGAGTATACAGATTTGCATAGCAATAATATGCATAGTATGAAAAGGCAGGATTAAAATTATTGGTCCACTGAGCAGGTGTTGGCATGTGCTTCGTTGGACGCCTCTCAGGTTTGCTTTCATCATCGACAATGTCAAAACCCACAACCTACAACAAAATAAAAGAAAGGTCTCAAACTCGTCTACATGTTCTTCCCACTGTAAATTTATAGAAAAAGATTATGCAAGTCATTGGATGACATGGATAACTAACAAATCAAACACCAATATCTAGTGTGGATAGAGTGATGGACACAAGAAATACGGTCGCCAAAGCAATTTTCTACAATAGTAAATTCTATTGCTCCATAACAATAGAAACAAAGCACAAATTTTGCATCACGATCTTTTCAACACAAATAAGGTCCTTACTGGGTAGAAGATACATGAAAATTCTGGAAGCAGAAATTCAAGCAGATATCAAAATCAAGAATCAGCCAGAATAGTAAACCACAAAGCCAGAATGAGATCATTCCCTAGTCCATATACTTGAAACTAAAAAGCAATAATTCTCCAAGACGACAAAAGATAAATTCAACAGCAAGAAGCTACAGAAGTTGATGCTTGGATATCATAGTGATTGAAACTTGTTATTTTGAATTTACTGTTACCAACATGCATCCAAATAGTTAAATATGATAATCATAACAGCAAGCGAGCGTATCAATTAAGCAAACATGATGGAAATTGGGAGATAGAATGCTTTAAAAGGGCAATGCTGTTGGTGTCGACTTGGAAATGAAGTAACCATCCTCCATATTATAATCCATTGTTGCTGATTGTCCATGCACACATCGTCTCCTTGAGCTACCTCCAAATCCTTGATGTCCATGACCCTAATTTTGTCATGAAAATTCCTAGTGAAATTTTGGTCTGCTGCTAAAGATCCATACACTTCCTTAAGTCGTTTTCAGTAGTGAAGGTGTGAATACTTTCTCTCTCTCTCTCAAAGATATGGGAAAGCGTAAATTGTTGATTTTACACAATTGTACATGTTAGGATCATATTGTCCTTCAACGTTATATCATGCGGATATATGGAATTATGCATTCACATATGAATTTTGGTTCATATGCATAGTTGTAAGATAACTATTAGCAATTTTCCTGAGACACAAGGATATACACATTAATGGCTCCAATATGTGGTTACATGAGAATGAATCCATCTCAATCCATTGATGTTTCTAGACGCGATATCAGAACCCTAATAACAGACCAAGAAAAGGGGATCTGTATTAATCTCTGTCGCACGTGCATGCAAGCACACAACCAAATGTACTTTTGTATGTATGTATGGATGGATGGTGGATGAATGGATGTATATAAACCTTGTTCTTGCTAAGGTTTTGAAATCGTGGAGAACCTATATTGGATAGGTTAACTATACTATTAATTTAATAGGTGGGTCACTGCCCTTCTTTACGATGTCATTTTTACTGAAAGAGAAGAAATTTTGCTCACGAGGGCTGTCATGGTGGGGAGCAAGGGCTTTTCATGTTGCTTTATTGGCTGCATTCTCTTCATTTTACTGATCATAGAATAGAACCTAGTGCCACACAACATCAAGAAAATGTTTGTCCATTTTCATGTAATTTCATGCATAAGAGTGCTTTGCTCATTTTCACACAATTGAGTACTCAAATCTAAACTACATCTAGACATAAAAGAATGTTCACACATTTCTCATGCAATACATAGTAAACATGATATAAAATGACATAAAACTGAGAAGTACATCATCTGATGAACCAACCTGCCTCAAGAACACATGAAGCTCTGGATGCGAGCTGGGATTAACTGTAACTTCAAAAAGAGGGATAAAAACGTTGTCTAAAATATTCTGGAATGATGTTACAATTCCCATGTCCTTGTACACATTATACAAGCGGGGCAGCTGGCAAATGATAAGAGGTCAGCAGATATATCTGGATCGTAACTAGAATGAGGCAAATGCCAACTATTTAATGATACTATAAAATTATGAAAACACAAAGGACACGCAATTCCAAATGAAGAATAACGAATATTCAAATAAGAAAATTGATTAATATTAACTATGAGGAGCAAATGAAGAAAATGGCAACAATGCTTGGACTTCATTAATAGCATAGCATTTTCAAAATAGCCATGCTCCAAACTACCAGTGTGCAAACAATCACCAGGCCTTGGCCCGGATCTGGAGTTGCAGGCCCGGAAAACCCTGCAATTGCCCAGGTCTCCAAAAATTTCATAATTTTTATATTTTGCTTATTAAAAACTGCCCAGTCCACTTGGACTCGCCCATGTATGAACGGACCGTCTCAGGCTTGGACCCTTGGTGAGTAGGATACCAAGTGTGACTTTTGAAACACGGCAAACAGCTAATGCTTAAAACTCAATTTGCTCAACCATGTCCACACAAGGAAAAACATGCACCATTCTTAATCTACAAGTACCTCACACAGACATCAAATAATATGACACCCAACAATCACCCAAAATTCTTTGTGTGACAGATCAAGAACGTTATGAAATCATTGATATAGCCCCAACTGCCAACAATTCCCTTAGCAGCCTTTCATCTATGCTAGCATGAGAAGTCCAACCTGAATTAACCAAATCGCATTTTCACTATAAATTTCATTGTTAACAAACCAGCTGGCCAACTGGTCCCATTCACTTTGTTTCCTTCCATAGATGGATATCCTGTACTCAGCCACCTGCAACATAGAAGGATAGTCCTTTTCAAGTATATGATGAAGACCAGTACATAGCATAGGACTCAAAACCAGGACATATGCAGCAATATAAAGTCACGATCTCTTTTAATTCAGGAATCAGGTATGTCATAAGAAAATGAAAATGGGAAAAATATATTAATATTGGAATTCAATTATAATGTTATATATATGTGAATAGTTCACAATGGATGTAAAATTAAACCTAAAAATATGAAATGCAAGACAAAGACCTGGTAAGAATATAGAAAATTCCTAGACTGGACGTGTCTACAGTAACCCTGATATATTCCTGAGTAGCAAAAATTGGTGTGAATAAATTGCAGCTCAAAATCTCAAGAATGATGGGTCAACAGAAACACCCGAGCATTTCATAGACTCAAAAACATAATGTCTCAGTATGAATCAAGAGTAATCAATATTGTCAATGCCAAATATGCACATAGTGTGAGAATGCCTACTCAAATGAAGAGAGAGAGAGAGAGAGAGAGAGAGAGAGAGAGAGAGACGACTACTACACAACGACCGTACG